AATGAAGAGGGTATAAATGGAAAAGAAAAAAAAAGCCCCGATGCACCTTTTATACAAGTATGTACATTGACTTTTCTTGAAATTTACAGATGACTACCATCATATATTTTTTCTGAGAAAATAAAAGGAAACTATATGCTATCAACAAAATCTAGAAAACAAAAGTTACTAAAATGCTTCTCATAGTCGCTTCAGAATTCATAATACACATTACTCCTGATATAACTGGCAAGAAACCTGTATGCATACAAGTAAATTCATAATACATTACTGTCATGTTTCAAGCAGCACAAGACTCAGACATATACCTCATCTTGATCTTCTGCAACTGTGGGACGACGTCTTTCATAGCAAGCCTTTCTCTAGGCGAGTCACTTGAACAGATGATCCCCAACTGCATGATGGAAGATAGACAGGCCTGTGTTGAAATTAAGTAGCTCTTTGGCCTTTCATTTCCATTTTCATCTTTCAGGAGATTGCAGTCCACAATATCTAATAGGCCACTAGGATTTGCATCATTTACCCATCGTCGCAAGCTTGATTCCCCCGTAAACATAGGATCAGTAGGCTTCTTTCTCGTAAAGATTTCTAGCAACAATATTCCAAAGCTATAGACATCTCCCTTTGTGGAGACTCTTCCAGTTGATGCATACTCTACACCGCAAACACAAAGGTTTAATACAAATCATTTGCGATTGGATTAAATTTGAGGTGAAAGCTTGTCAATTTAATTACCTGGAGCAATATAGCCAATTGTTCCTGCCGTGCTTGCTGAGGTTACACTCCGGTTGTCACCACTCAGCAATTTTGCAATGCCAAAGTCGCTGACATGTGCAACCAGCTGAGGTTACACTCCGGTTGTCACCACTCAGCAATTTTGCAATGCCAAAGTCGCTGACATGTGCAACCATTTCTTCATCAAGAAGAATGTTGCCCACTCAGCAATTTTGCAATGCCAAAGTCGCTGACATGTGCAACCATTTCTTCATCAAGAAGAATGTTGCTCGGTTTTAGATCACGATGTAGAATAACCTCAGAATGGTGGTGATGAAGGTAGTCAATAGCTGAAGCTACATCGATTATGATGTCAATCCTTTGAAGTAAGCTCAAGCAGTAATTATGGGAGTGTAGCCATCTTTCTAGACTTCCATTGGGCATGAATTGGAGTACAAGTGCCTTGAGATCCATGTTGGAGCACGTGCTGATGATTCTACCAAGATTTCTGTGTCGAACCAGCCTCAAAGCACGACATTCAGCATCAAAACTCCTTGAAGCTCCTTCGATTTCCAAATTCAAGACCTTTATGGCAACAAGAAGGCCGTCATCTAAAAGCCCTCTGTACACAGAACCAGAAGTCCCCATTCCCAGCAAGTTTATCTCGCTGAAGTTGTCAGTGGCACGAACAAGCTCGTAGTATGAGATCAATCTATGGTGAGTAGAAGAGAGCATGCTAGGAGGGGCTAGATTCTTGGCTCTCCTTCTACAAAATCTTAATAAGATGCAAAAACCAAGGAGGAGGACTCCGGAAGAAGCAATAACAGGGAGGATATACCTTAGCAAATGCCTCCTTGAATTAGAATCTTTAGAATCAGATGGATTACAAGATGAAAATCCTAATCTGGGTGCTCCACATAATGCTGCATTTCCTTCCAAAGACACGGCACTTACATTTAAAAAGGCACCGTCATTTGGAACCTTTCCTTCCAACTTGTTGAAAGATAAGTTCAGGATGCTGAGATGTCGGATTTTGACTAAGGACTCGGGTATAACACCTGAGAGCTTATTGCAAGAAAGTTTCAAGGCTGAGATGTCGGATTTTGACTAAGGACTCGGGTATAACACCTGAGAGCTTATTGCAAGAAAGTTTCAAGACATCAAGATTAATGAGATTACCAAATCTCGGGTATAACACCTGAGAGCTTATTGCAAGAAAGTTTCAAGACATCAAGATTAATGAGATTACCAAATGATTCAGGAATGTGCCCGTCGAATGAGTTATTTGATAGATCTAAATAATTGATCTCGAGATACTTCGGAGGACTTGGAAGGTCACCCGACAGCTGATTTATTGATACATCAAATGCATATAAGCCCTGCATGTTCCACAATGTTAATGGCAGCGATCCAGTGAGAAGGTTTTGTGACAGATTCAATTCATGTAGATGAGTCAAACTCCAAATAGTTTCAGGAATTGTTGAGGATAACCTGTTAGCACCAAGTCTTAAGATCTCTAGTCCAGTGATGTTGCCCAGCGAGTCAGGTATCGATCCAGAAAGACAATTGCCATTGAGGTACAGTGCGACCAAGTTTCTCAATCGGCCGAGCTCATGTGGGATCGAACCGTATATCCTGTTACTATCCAAACTTAGGGACTGCAAGCCTTGTAGGGTTTTGATTTCAGACGGTATCGTTCCAACTAGCTCATTATTGCTCAATGATAGAGCGATCAATCCAGACAGGTTACCCAGCTCAACAGGAATTTTCCCCTTAATATGATTATCCTGAATGCCAAGCACGGTTAGAGTCCTTGAAAGGTTACCTACGGTATATGGAAGAATGCCATCCAGCTCATTTTCACCAATGTTAACACGATCTAAAACTCTGCAGTTCGAAAGCGATGCAAGGAAGTCAACTCCTCCTGTTAGTTTGTTTCCTAATAGCTCCAAGATTGAAAGGTTAGCCATGTTCCCAAACTGCAAACGCACTGGTCCGGTGAGACTATTTTTGGCCAGTTGAAAGAATGTGAGTGATGACAAATTGGAAAGAGAAATCGGTATGGGACCAGTAATACCACCACAGAAACTAATCTGCAAACGATCAAGGCTCGTGAGACGACCCAACTCCTCGGGAATATTCCCATGGAAGCTGCTGTTGCCAAGACTTAATTTGGACAGGTTAGTCAGGTTACCTAAAGAGGATGGTATGGTACCCGTTAGGTAGTTACTTCCAAGATATAATGTATTAAGTTGCTTCATATTTCCAATCTCGGACGGTATGTTTCCGGTTAGCTGGTTAAAACTCAAGCTCAGAAATTGAAGAGTACGACTACCGCAAAGGCTAGACGGGATGCTGCCAGTGAGTTGGTTCCAAGACATAGCCATAATATGAGGGAACAACGGATGGAAGTTGCTATCATTAGAGGGCAGGGTGCCTGAAATACTGTTGTGCCCGAGACGCAATTCAATAAGCGATGACATGTTGAAAAAGGCAGGAGGTATTGAACCTGAAAGCTGATTACCATCAAGTCCGAGATATTTCAGTCGAGGCAGCCGAGCCAGAGATTCAGGAATGGTTCCGGCTAAGCCATCATTGGAAAGCGAGAGCAGAGACAGAAATGAGAGGTTGCTGATGTGAGGAGGGATGGTGCCGTAGAGCGGCATGTTGCTAATGTTGAGAGCAGTGACTCTTCGCCATCGACGGCTGCAGGAGACGCCCATCCAGGTGCAAAAGGAGGCATCAGTGGTCCAGTTGGCGGATATAACGCTGCTTGGATCACGTTCGATGACCTGCGCTCTGATGGCCAAGAGGGCCGAGAGGTCGGTAATGTTGTTATGCTTCACCGCCGATGATGAGGTAAACAATAATAGCATCAGATGCGTTACTAAGAGGACAGACTGGTAGGTTTCCATTGATGCCAGTGAAGGAAGATTATAGAGGATAAAAGAAATTGACACTTCACGAGGGGAAATGCTCAACATAAATAGGCCAGCTGATTTGCTCACAATGATTACCATTCACCTGCCAACTACCAACGTTTACTTGGTCTTTAAAGTCCTACGCCATCCCTTTCTTTTGGAAATCTGGTATCCACTATCAACATTGACTTGGACTCTTGAAAGTCCTATCCAACACTAATGATTAATTGGATAATATCTACCCCATATATTGTTCGGTATCAACTCAAACTCCAAGTTAGTATAGTGTTTTAATTCTTTGTATAACTTCATGAGAATTAGATATGGTTAGAGATCTACCATGATTAGGAGTTTGAATCCTATTCTAATTAGGAAGTTAGGCTAGAGATAGGGTTTTGGTTTCCCTATATATATTCTTCTATTGTTAGAGGAAAAACTAAGAAGAAGAAGTGTAAAGAGAAAGAGAGAGAGTTTGGCAATCTTTGTCCGTGCAAAAGATTGTAATTTAGAGGTGATAGTGGATTGATTTTGATCATGTGGTTTTTCCCTGTTGAGGGTTTTCCACGTTAAATCTTGTGTGATTTTATTTGTTGCGTTTAGTGGTTTTTTGGGGGGTTTTTGCGAGATCTAAAAAAACAAGTGGTATCAGAACGGGGTTCGACGGTTCGTGGAGATTCGAGATTTGCAACTGTAGCTGCGGGTACTGTAGCAGCGGCAGATCCGACGGTTGAGGTTAATTTATCTTTTGATCGAGGATTTGGAGGCGGAATTTGGTGATCCAGGAGTCGTTCCTAGGATTTTTCAACGTGCTAGTTTTTTTATGTCGGTTTTATCAAATTCAATCTCTACAATGACTGATTTGAATTTTGATAGTGGTTAGAGAATGATGACTTCTTCGGGTCCGAAGTTTGATATTCCTCTATTCAATGGTAAGACAAATTTTACAGTATGACAATGCACGGTTTAATATATTCTTGTGCAACAAGGTGTTAATCAAGCTTTAGAAGATAAGAAACCTGAAGGATTGAAGGATGTTGAATGGAGTTCTATGCAAAAAATGACGGTTAGCACAATTCGTTTGTCACTCACCCCCGAGATCAAGTACAATGTTATGCAAGAGACCACACCAAGGAGGCCGTGGGAAAGGTTCGAGGGGATTTATGCGTCGAAGTTGATGATCAACCGATTGTGTTTGAGGATGGAGCTTTATTCGTTGAAGATGGAAGAATGTACAACAATTCAAGACCACATCAATGTCTTTAATCAGCTAGTTTGCCAACTTATGAATTTTGATGAGGAGATTAAAAAAGAAGAGCATGTGTTACTCCTATTATCTTCATTGCCGAAGTCGTACAAGCCGTTAGTTCAGACGATAATTGTAGCGAAGCAGACTTTAAAGTTCGACGATGTGATAGCACTCCTACGTGAAAATTAAAGAATGATGGGAAAGGAGAGCGCATCTAATGGTGGTGAGAGTGTACTAGCTTTTGAAAGTTCTAATCGAGGGAAGAGTATGGGGAGATGTGACAGTTATCGAGGAAGGTCAAAATCTCGGGCCCGAGACGACAGCGAAAAGGAGTGCTATTATTAAGAGAGAAGGGTCACATTCAGTTCAGATGTTCCCAGATGCGTGATGATTTGAAGAGTATTAGACAAAGGAAGCTTCAAGAAAATGGGAAGAAGACGGACTCCTCAGTGGTTGTGTGTGATGAAGATGTGGTTTTATTGATGCAGAGTACAAGTACTGATGCGAGTAACACTTGGGTGTTAGATTCTGCAGCCTCTATGCACGTTTGTAACAATAAAAATTATTTTAACACATTGAAGACAGATGAAGAATTTGACAACGTGATTATTGGAAACAACGAGAAGATGAAGGTTGAAGGTGTTGGAAATGTTGGCCTCAAGCTTCACACTGGGAAGGTCGGAATTCTTCATCATGTGAGATATGTGTCGTCATGTGGTGGTAATTTAATTTCGTTGGGTAAGATGGCATCAAGTGGGTACAAGTATGTGGGTGAAGGAGAATGGTGCAATGTGTATAGAGATGGTGATTTGATTTTGTAAGGGAGGAGGAATAGCAATCATATTTGCTATTTAGATGGGCGATCCGTTAATAGTGCAGATTACTCTTCTCAGACTCTTGTCCACAAGGGAGAGGCGAAGAACAAGAAGAAGAGAGTGAGTTTTTCTGAAGCCGTTGAGACACTTGGAGATTTTTCGTCGAGGGAGGATATGTTGGGTATCAACTCAAACTCCAAGTTAGTATAGTATTTTAATTCTTTGTATAACTTCATAAGAATTAGATAGAGTTAGAGATCTATCATGATTAGAAGTTAGGGTTCCATCATGATTAGGAGTTTGAATCCTATTCTAATTAGAAAGTTAGACTAGAGATAGGGTTTTGGTTTCCCTATATATATTCTTCTATTGTTAGAGGAAAAACTAAGAAGAAGAAGTATAGAGAGAAAGAGAGAGAAAGAGGGTTTGGCAGTCTTTGTCCGTACAAAAGATTATAATTTGGAGGTGATAATGGATTGATTTTGATCCTGTGGTTTTTCCCTGTTGAGGGTTTTCCACGTTAAATCTTGTGTGATTTTATTTGCTGCGTTTGGTGGCTTTTTTGGGGTTTTTGCGAGATCTAAAAATCCTAACATATATAAAGTTGAAATAAATAAATTTATTTAAAATAGAACAGCGACTTTTCCTAATAAGTACTAATATTAGTTAAAAAATTCTAATGTTTTTTCCAGTCATATAAGTTTTATTATCCTATATTATTAAGTTAATTTAAATATTTTTTGAAGTATCCTTTATCAAAGAGAACTCTATTTGATTTGCAAAGAAACTTGAGATTTAAAAGCTACATCCAATACACAAAAAATGAAATATGAATTTTACAAAAATTACCCCAAAGTTTCAAGGTTTACAAAAATCAGCCTCAACAGTTCAAACCTACAATTATCTTGAAATCATAAAATTTAGCACCAACGTATGACATATGGAAATTAGTAGCGTCCAACTAAAAATTTAAAATTTATAACGCACTCAAAGTTATAAAAACTTTAAAAACAACACTTTAAAAGCTCAAAATCACACAAAACACCTAAAATTTGAAAATTTTGGAAAAAAAACTATTTTATATTCTTTCACTAAGATATATAAATTTAACTTCTAATTTGAAATTTAACTATACCTTTTCAACAACTTAAAACAATCTAAGTTGATGCTGGTAAAAAAGAAAAAAGAAAAAAAATATTAGATTAAAAATATCCCCTTAAGGTATAAAATTTAAAAAATATATTAATAAATTAAAAATTAGAATCACCATATAAATTAAAATATAATATATAGCTTGACGTTAGTTAATTAGATTTTACAAACATTGATCTCTGATGTTAATAGTATTTGCAAGTTAATAAAATACAATGAGTTTTGTACTAAGAGACTATCGAAAAATTTAGAGATATGCTTCGAAAGAATCAAATTGTTTTCATTTCAAAATGGAGAAGTGAAAGAAATAAACTAAGCTTTTACAAGTGTCTACAAATCACTAGAATTAACATTAATAAAAGACATACCTATCAAAGAAGAGTCAACTAAGTTCTACTTGCAGAACATATTAAACAACTTTGTCTCAATCGAAGAAGTATTTTCCATGGGAGATGCAAGAAAGGTTACAAAGTACTTATAAAATTTTATATTTTAATCTTCAATACCAAATGAAACATAAATTTACGAAATCATAAACTGGTTATACAATTACATGTAGATATTCTTGCAATAGCAACTAACGTGAAGCAGGTGATCAGCTATGTCACGAAACATAACCAACCAGATTGTTGTATCATAGAAATGACTACATGTTAGTCTCATTCCAAGAAATGACACGTTTCAAATTAACTATACACCAACCTGATTTGACCTCATGAAGGCCGAGTCAAAGGATGTCTTCACTTGGACCCTCACAAGAGAGTCGAGTCAAAAGGCGTTCTCACTCGGGCCCTACTCCCAAAACCAACCTAGAGTATTATCACTCAATAGACCAAGTCGAGAAGTGTCCTTATTCAAAATGGCCAAGTCGAAAGGCATCTTTTCTCGACTTCCCTCGAAAAGTCCAGATGAAAGACGATCTTTCTCGAACCCATTGATAATAGCCAGTCAATATCGAATTAAATGCAGGATCCAAGTCATCATTACACCACCACCGAAAGTCTTCACGGCTCATCGAACCATGCCAGCACCCTAACTCCCCTGTCACTGTCGCGTTAATAACAAATGTGACTCAAACCACCCACTGTTGATACCTATAAAGTATCAGCTAAATTAGCCGACTGCTTGGACTTGGCCGAAAATACACAACTACCCTTCTGGATCTACTATAAATAGGCACATTGCCTATTGCATAGGGTACACAATTTTTGGGCATGGAATATCTATCGAGAAGTTTGGACATGCTTAAACATGACAGGTTATTTAAATTTCACCCCAAGTGTGGAAGATTAAAGCTTACCCACCTCATCTTTGCTGATGATTTCCTGCTTTTTGGGAAGGGAGATGTATACTCTATTCAGAAACTGAACCAGTGTGTTAACAATTTTGGTAAAATCACTGAACTTGAAGTAAATCAAGATAAATGTTCAATTTTCTTTGGTGGAGTTAATGATGCAGTCAAGACTGAAATTACAAATCTCTTGAGATTCAAAGAAGGGAATTTTCCAATCAGATACTTGGGAGTCCCACTCATTTGCAAGAAACTATCGTATATGGACTGCAATGCACTCATAAACAAAGTGTCTAACCAACTTCAGACTTGGCTGAAACATAAAAATCTTACCTATGCTGGCAAATTATAAGTCATCAGGAGTGTCATACTGGGGTGCAAGTTTATTGGACTTCAAATTATATCTTGCATGTAAATGCTACCCGCAAAGTTGATGAAATGTGTAGGAACTTCTCCTTTGGGGTAAAACAAATCAAACTTCAAAAGCTCCTCTCGTTGCTTGGGAAACTGTATGTCTGGGAAGAAAGCAAGGTGGTCTTGGTGTTTTTTCTACCTATATATGGAATTTGGTTGCAATTTTAAAAAATTTATGGTCCATCCATATAAATAAAGAATCTATATGGATCAAATGGGTTCATGGGACTTATTTGATACATAGGGACATCTAGCATGTGTGTGCAAGGAAGGGGGATTCTTGGATGTGGAAACAAATGTTGAAGAAGAGAGATAAAGCTGTGATGCACTATGGAGGGGTTGATAATCTGGTACAGCTCCTGAGTTCCTGTTTTGGAAATTCAAAAGCTCAATTATCAACTTTATACAATGCTTTTTCCCTTGTTAGACATAGAGTCCCATGGCATGATACTATATGGGAAAGGATGAGCTATCCAAGACATTCTTTCATTAGTTGGCTTGCTCTTCACAACCGACTGCTTATACAAGACAAGTTGTTAAGGAGGGGAATCATTAATACAAATGTATGCAGGTTATGTTCTGGTGATAGCTTGGAAAATAGAAATCATCTGTTCTTCGATTGTAGATTTTCAGGTGAGGTGTGGAATGGCATCATGAACTGGCATGAATTCACTTGGAAGTCTTGCGACTGGAGACTTCTATTGGACTGGTTTTGTACAAGAGTGAGGGGGAAAGGTTTCAAACAAGCGATCAAGCGCATGGTATTTTCAGCTACAATTTACAGGATTTGGGGGAGAAAGGAATGCCAGGATCTTCCAACTTAAGCATAGAAGCGTGGAATGTTTGATCAAGGACATAAAGATGGATATTCTGATCTCAAATCTGAATTCATCGATCTCAGCTGAAAATAAAGCCTGGTTAAACTCATTGTAAATGCTCTGCTTATGTTTTCTTCTTTAGAGCTTTTGGTTACAGGTTTTGATATCTCAAAACATTTTTGAGATCTTGATGTACATAATTTCTCATACTGGTTGATGAATAAAATCTTTTCATTGACCAAAAAAAAAAACTTCTGGAGAAACCAATTTCGATCTTCTTATATATTGTTTGTATGTAGGACCGAACCCCCCTGCTCAATAATCAACCATCAACGAAGATTGAGGGACCCTAAACTCTCTATAACTCACACTAAACTCAACTATTAAACATCTGACATTAACACAAACAATAGGAGGGAAATCATGATAATGGATAAAAGGTATGTAGATGATACTTGTTTTCAATAGCGTACGAAAAAAATTAAGATTGGCATTCTTTTTTTATTCTTTCTTTTTCATATACAGTGGAATGACTCAGCGCATAACCTTATTTGGGGATATGGCTACAAATGAAGGATCGATTCTTAAAGACACAATCAAAGATAAACCCAAAATGTCACTATTAGATTTCAAATCTCTAATTATAAAGGTAATATATTTCATTATTAAAATTCTTATTAAATTCCACTAAATATAAAATACATCTTATAAATATCTCAAATTTGCATGGGAGATAAGCATATCATTGCAAATTATATCATCAATTGTATTAATCTAAATATACAACATGCTAAAGGATTAACGAAATGATAAGTAGAATAAGCATACCTCCATATAACACAATAAAGAAATAATATTATATTTTAATCTAGTATGCGGTGTTCATTTAGAAGAATCTTTCAAAATAAAAGGATCTCCATCAACGCTCTTTACAAATGCAAAAGAAATTCAAATTAGTGATATTATGCAAACATCATAGAATTCGGGTACTATTAAAAAACCTACTCTTATTCACAATTAAACCTAACTAAATTTTACCAATAAAAGACACTATTGCACATTTAAGGCAAAGATAACTACCATTTTAAATGGATTTGAGAGATGATTCTATACTTGCAAATTTTACAACAAGAAGGTAGATAAAGATGCTAGTAATAAGTGCATGAATGATAAATGTCGTAGAACCGCTAATGATTCAGTACTAAGGTTAATTAATATCAAATTTGTATGAAATGAACATATCAAAATTCAATATTAACGTATATCTAAAAATCAACAATAAAAACTACAAGTATGTAGTTAAGATTCTCGTGGAAAATGGCGCGGACAATGCAAAGATAACATTGTTTAATACAACAGAAACTCTTATTGGATGCGCAGCACAAGAATTCATTGCAGAGAAAAAAGAGGTAATTCCTAGCTCTATTTAAGTAATAAATTAAAAAATCAAAAAAAATCATACATATGATATTAACCTTTGTTCTAATAAAATAGAAAAATAATTAAAATCCATATTTCTAGAAGTTCCTGTTGAACATCTGCGCAGTGTGGCAGTGTAAAAAAAAGAATAATGACAAATACAATACTTCAAAGCAGTAAACATGTAGAGATTAGAAGAAACCCCTTATCTACCATTAATAGACAGGTAAGCCCTTATCTGCCATATTTTCCATATATGTAGCGGTGTAAAATTCTTATCAATATCCCGTGAAAATAGTTGTCTTGATGAACATATCTACTCCTTGCTCATTTTACCCTATGTTCTAGGTTCCCAAACAGACATGACAGGCTACATTGAGAATTTGAAATATTTATCGGCCGAAATTCTGAACAAGAAATTGCTCCACAAAAAAAAGGTCTCCTGCCAGCAATTATTACTTACCCTCTACTATCTCCCAACTGTTTCCCATTATGCAACCGTAAAAAAAAAGAAAAAAAAACAGCATCGAAGTATTTAAAAAAAAGTTAACAAGTCTACTTAGGCTTTGTTTGGCAAAACTAGCTGAAAGCTGCGAGATTATAGCTGAAAGCTGTTAAGCTAGCTGAAAGCTGTAAAATTATAGCTGAAAGCTGTTAGCTGTGTAGCTAGCTGATTGACTAGCGCTGTTTGACAAAAGTAGCTGTACAACTAGCTTAAATTTGTTAAATGACTAAAAAAGACATGCAATATTATTGATATAAAATTAGAATTATTAGGGGCAAAAACGGAAGAAAAAAATTGGCAGCTCCTTCCCAAAGACAAACGCTACTTGAGGTAGCTTTTCAAAAGCTACTTGCAAAAGACACAATCTCCAAAATAATCTCCTCCTATTTTTGGTCACCAAACAGCTCTACTAGCTTATTGACCAAGTCAATAAGACACAAGCTCTTAGATAAGACACTTTTTTTGGTTGCCAAACATTGCCTTAAAAATGTGTATGAAAAGCATCATAATAATAACAATAATAACTGGAACATGTTTGTTATTACAACAATAACTATTGCTGATCACCAAAATTTAGCTCTGCAGATCAATAAAACAGCATATGCCATGCTTTGAGGCTTTAAGCAACAGAAGACACTGATAAGTAGTCCGTTTTGATCTTCTGCAGTTTTGGAACAATTTCTTTCATTTCAGGCCTTTCTTTAGGCAAGCCCCTTGAACAGATCACGCCCAACTTTAGAATAGAAGATATACATGCATGTATGCGGATAAGATCTTCTCGTGATCTCGCATTTCCAGACCCATCTTTCAAAAGATTGTGATCAACAATATCCAGTAGAGTAGTAGGATGTGCCTCACATACCCATCGTCGCAAGCTTGATTCCCCCGTAAACATAGGATCAGTAGGCTTCTTTCTCGTAAAGATTTCTCGCAAGCTTGATTCCCCCGTAAACATAGGATCAGTAGGCTTCTTTCTCGTAAAGATTTCTAGCAACAATATTCCAAAGCTATAGACATAAACATAGGATCAGTAGGCTTCTTTCTCGTAAAGATTTCTAGCAACAATATTCCAAAGCTATAGACATCCCCCTTTCTCGAGACTCTTCCTGTCAATGCATACTCTATTCGCATACGCAAGTAAATTAAACAGTGGATGTTATCAAAATATAGAGAAATTTTACAAAATTCTGTTTGAGAAGTACAAGGTAAAATACCTGGTGGTATGTACCCAAGTGTTCCTGGTGTGCTTGCTGATGCTACAGCCCAGCTATCACCAAGCAAAAGCTTTGCAATCCCGAAGTCACTCACACGAGCTGTCATGTTTTTATCAATCAATATGTTGCTCGGCTTTAAATCACAGTGAACCACAACCTGAAAATGGTGATGATGGAGGTATTCAACAGCTGACGCCACGTCGATTACTATGTTAATCCTTTGGAGTAGGTCCAGGCAGTAGTTGTGGGAGTAAAGCCACCTTTCTAGGCTTCCATTAGGCATGAATTCAAGGACAAGTGCCCTGAAGTCCAAGCTGCAACAAATGCCGATGATTTTAATGAGGTTTCGGTGACGAACCATGCACAAGGTACGATGCTCTACATCAAAAGTACTTGAACCTCCATGAGGTTCCACATTCAAAACCTTTATCGCAGTGACTAGTCCGTCATCTAAACATCCTTTGTACACAGAGCTGAAGCCCCCCTTCCCTAGTAAGTTCATCTCGTTAAAATTTTCAGTGGCACGTACGAGTTCATTGTATGAGATCAGACTATGGTCGTTGGGGGATAGCGAGTCTGTAGCAGCTTGGTCCTCGGTTTTCTTCCGACCGGGTATTAATAAGATGCAGAAGAAGGTAACAAGGGCAATAGTGCAAGCAACAGCTGGTAGAATATATTTAAGCAAATGCATCCTCATCCGTGAATTAGAAACTGCAGCTTTTGGAGGACAAGGTGAGAAGCCTAGTTTAGGTGCTCCACATAATGCTACATTTCCTACCAAGGATGTGATAGTGAGATTGGAAAATGCAGCCCCCTTTGGAATCTCTCCTTCCAACTTGTTGAAAGACAGGTTTATACTTCTGATATACCGTAGATTGGCTAAGGAGTTTGGTATGGCACCCGAGAGGTTATTGCATGAAAGGTTCAAGACTTCAATGCTAATAAGCTCACCAAATGATGGTGGAATTTGACCATCAAACGAGTTATTCGAAAGATCTAGAGACCTAAGCATTTGGAGATCTCTGAAAGTGCTTGGAATAGTACCTGACAACCGGTTCATTGATGTATTGAACATGTCCAGAGACTTCAGGTTCCCTACCCTTGAAGATAGTGATCCACTCAGATAGTTTTGCGATAGACTTAACTCAATAAGGCCACTGAGACTCCACATGTTTTCAGGAATTCCGGAAGATAATTCATTACCACTCAGGATCAAGTGCTGCAGACTACTGATATTTCCCAAAGTGTCGGGTATGGATCCAGAAAAATGGTTACCGCTAAGGGACAGCGTATTCAGGCTTCTCAATTGACCGAGTTCATGAGGGATGGATCCATGTATTCTGTTATTTCCCAAGACTAGTGATTGAAGCCCTTGTAGCATTCTTAGTTCAGAAGGTATCCTTCCCACAAACTCATTATTGCCTAAATTTAGATCCCACAAGCTGGTCAGGTTACCCAATTCGGCAGGAATCTTTCCCTTGATATGATTCCTAGCAACAACCAAAATTTGAAGATTCTTCGACAGATTACCAATTGTATTGGCAAGAGAACCATCCAGCTCATTTCTTCCCAAATCTATTGTTTCTAAGACTCTGCTGTTTGAAAGCGTCGAGAGGAAGTCCAATCCTCCAGTTAGATTGTTCCCTGTAAGTAACAAGGTCTCAAGTTGAGGCATGTTCCCAAAGTGTGGAGGCACTGGTCCAGTAAGCTGCTCATCACTCAGGTCTAACACATTGAGTTTTGAAATGTTTGAGAGGGAAATTGGAAAAGGACCTGTTACACCATGGTTGCTAGCAAGGTTTAAACTCTCAAGATTTGATAGACGACCCAACTGCTCAGGAATATTCCCGTGGATATTGAGATAGGGGAGGTCTAGTGCAACCAGATTTGTAAGGTTTCCTAATGAAGCTGGCATAGTACCTGTGAGGTAGTTAACTCCCAGATATAGAAGTCTAAGTTGCTGCAAATTCCCAAGTTCCGATGGTATATTTCCACTTAAGCGGTTGACCGCCATTGAAAGTACTTGAAGATGATGGCAATTGGAAAGGCTAGATGGGATGTTGCCACTCAGCAGGTTAGTTGACAGAAAAAGAAATTGAACTTGAGGAAGAATTGCATGAAGGCTGTCATTTGAGGGAAGAGTCCCTGAAAGATTGTTGTACCTAAGGCTTAGTTCAGTTATCGAAGACATGTTGAAAATGGCAGGAGGTACAGAACCAGAAAGGCGATTCCGTTCAAGTATAAGTGACTTGAGACGAGGCAGCTGTGCAAATGAGTCGGTAATGGGGCCGACAAAGCTGTTATTGGAAAGCTGGATGTATGACAGAAAGGACAGGTTGGTGATCTGAGGAGGTATGGTACCAGAGAGAGATAAGCTAGAAAGATTAAGAGCAACGACTCTTTGCCTTTGGCGGCTACAAGAGACGCCGGTCCAGGAACAAAAGGAGGTGTTGGTGGTCCAGCTGGAGGAGAGAATGCCGTTTGGGTCGGTGACATGGTCCTTGAATGCCAGCAGTGCTGAGAGGTCGGTGAAGTTGTCATGCACAGCCGACGAGATAAAGAATAAGAAGAAATGCATTGCTACGAACAGAAACAAGTAGATCTCCATGGAAGTTAAAGGGATAGACTGAGAAATGCGATCAAAGGAACCCTAATTTGAACATAAACTAACTTTCTGCAGAAGTGCTGTTTTATTACAGATGTCAAATGAGAAAGAGTGAAATAAGAAATTTTACACAGGGTGTCATCATGGTTGGCTGATAGAACTGTACGTCTTCATTCATGGCCTTACCTGAGGATCCATTTGCATAGAGATTAATTTTCCTAATGTATAGGTGCAGTTTCTATATCGTGAGAGCAACGGCTATTCATTATTCTTGACTTTTCCCCTTCTTTGCTTGCCAGTTGATCCTTGATATTATTTGCTTGACTTAGTGTAGGTTCAATGACTTTGATGCCTGATGCGTTTTTTTTTTCTTTTTCTTTTTTCTCTCTGTTGATAAATGCTCAATTCATTCTTAAGCAGTGAATGCCGCAGGGTGTACGTGTAACAGCTTTCTATCTGGCGCATACTTTCTTGATTAGTGCTTGCGACAACAACATAAAACCCAGAGTACTACACATTTGTGAAAAAAGTTAATATATTTCCCTTGCTGGACTTGGTCTGTGCATATTTGCCACTTACCGTATTAGTTTCATCATATCTCTTATGTTCTAGTTTTGATTGTCTTTTGATAATCATATTTTTATTATAATTTTATACCCTAATTATCTATTTTACATGAATAAATATACTACTAATAATTATTTTTATTTTAATTTGCGGGTTAATGAAGAAATAATGAATAAAAGCCCAAAATACTCTAACTTTCTCTTTTTGTAACCTTTTATTGAAACTCAGGGTCAAGCCAAGAAGCCTATAGAAGCCGGAGAAAATAAAAATCCAATATGAAAAGAAATCATATTCAAGATGGTTGGTCGCAAAGAAACAACGATATCTCTAAATCCGAAAGGCAGAATTTAATATATAACATATGAAAATCGCCTATCTCGACGAGACGAAGCCATCTATCAAGTCAGATATTTGATACAAGTATCGATACTAGTATCTATACCCGTATCGATACCTGCATCGATAGAGGTATTGATACCACTATCGATACCAAATATGCAGTTACGATTTACAGGCTAAAATTGATTAACTTGGAAAGCAAGTTTAATCCAATGGTTCACATTCATTACTGGAGGCTACAAATAGGGGTAGAGAGTGAGTGGTTAGGGTGTGAAATATTTTGTAAAAACTCCTTTTGGTGAGGAGGGTTACTCTTAGTTGAGAAGACCTTCAAAATTATAACTTTTTATTGCAATTAATAAAGAAATATTTTCATCTCTTTATATTTTTCTTTTCTTCTCTTTGTTTGATTATGAAGATGAAGGTGAGATAAAGATGAAGATCAAGATGAAAGTTTACTATCACCTTGAGGCTAGAACCCTTTTGGGATGTAAAATTTTTTTTGTTAATAAATTTATCTTTTACTTTCTTTTCTTGTTTAAATAGTCAAGAGGCTAGAACCATCTAGTCTTAGATTTATTTTCATGTGTAATAGAGTAGATTTACTTTCATATCTTTACTTTCTTGCTTTAAATTCTTGCATTTATTTCTTACAATTTAATTTGTAGTTCAGATTTTATTTTCTTGCACTATTCGCCTTGAGGGTAGAACCCTTTCGGGATTAGTTTTTATTTTTATTTATTTTTATTTTCTTTGATTCTCCTTGAGGCTAGAACCCTCTAGAGAATTGTCTTTTTTTTAAGATGTGGAACTAATACTTATGGAAACTCTAGAAATTGCATGAAACTAACTTTATTTCTTTTATAATTTGTTAATCATTCTCCTATGCTTAAACTGTTCATGTTTAGGATATTCAACTAAAGAATTAATTGGTAGAAGGAATTGTAGAATTACTATTTAGTTGTTATTCTTTTTATGAGTATTAATTTTACTTGGATGATAATTTGATAGGTTATGTTTTGCTTAAATGGTTTGATAGTCTATACTTAATAAATCTAAAGTAGAATATGATAAAAAGAGAATGATTCATATTTTATAAGTTAGCTAGTGGATTCAATTCTAGATTTCTCATATCTTTAATTGAATATTTCATCTCTTACTTTCTTGATTTTCCCCTTACTTCTTGATTTTTCTCTTATTTGTTTCTTGATTTTATTTGCTTCATCTTTCTTTCTTTCCTTGTTGTTAGTTTTGTGTACATTTACCCTTTATCATATCCACTCTTTATCTATCCACTCTCAATCTCTTTTTGTGCTTATTTACACACAATCACTGTCACTCTCTCTATCTCTCCACAATCGCATTCATCACTCTTAATTGTCACACACACACAACATAAGAATCAATTTTGATTTTCTCCTACAAACATCTTCCTTGTGGGATCGATAATTTTTTATACTATAACTTGATTGGTTATGTACTTACAACTCTAGGGGTATACTTTTAGGCCCTATTATTTCATCTCTTTACAACTCTATTAAGGCGTTGATGTCAGATGAAGATCCGGATAGGGTCATGGTCGGTACAGAGATTTATAGCTTGGCTTCTTTCCTGAATACAATGATTGATAAGATCCTTCACAAGGGATTGCCTTTCAATAGCTTCAGGTGATTCCTTGATCAAGATGTGTCAGATATCAGGGAAGAAGGGTATGGTGACTTGGCTGATTCCATTGTAGCAGATTTGGCTCACCTAGAGCAGGGACTCCAGGAGCTAAAAGAACTTCAGACTGCTGGTGCTTTCTCATATGTAACAGCTCATATGGAATCGAGGCTAAAGGTGTGGCATGATATACAAATGTTTACTGGGCTTGAGCTCAAAAAACTATGGAATTGTGTGATGCAGATGGAAGTAGGTCTTGCCAAGAAAGCACAAACCAAGACCGACTTGCTTCAATCCTTAGCATCAAGACGTGAAGAAATAACCCACCTTGAGAAAGCTCTGGAATATGCTAAGGATGCTCATACCATCCTTAAAAGTGACTTGACCGGCATTGAGAGAGGTTGCATGACGATGCTCGAGAAGCTGAAGCCTTAGAGAGAGAAGCTGGTTGAAATGGAACGAGAGGCCGCTAAAACCTTAACCACCACTGAGGACTCACTAAAAGTCGATCTGAAGGTAGAGCTTGAACGTGTTTATGTAGAGAAACTTTCTAAGCTGGAGGAGCAAATCAGTAGCCGCAAACTATTTGTAGAGTTACGGCACCACTTTCGTGTCTTCTTGATTTCATCTTATAAATAAAATGAAAATTTTGATCGCTCCACTTCTATTATGATTACGCATTCTATTCAGAATAAATAATCATAATATTTTTAGGATTTTTAACAAACTCTTAGCTATTAACGGATTTGATAAGCCTTTACCGACTACCATTTGAGTCGGGCTAGTATGCAGATTATCTAAGTTTGTTCCATATGTAATGTTATGCTAAAAGAATAAATTCTCTTAGATTTGGTGCTATGATATTGAATATGTAGGCTTCCTCATTCTTATAGGAATACCCGGTAAAGTGTGTTAGACGTAGAATTATCTCTAATAAGGGATCAAGATAAAGTCCCATATGCATGATAGGCAAAGATTTGGACGCTACGATATTGAATACGTAGACTTCATCATTCTTATAGGAATACTCGGTAACGTGTGATAGACATAGACTTATCTCTAATAAGGGATCGAGATAAAGTCCCCTATGTATGATAGGCATAGATTTAGGTGCTACAATATTGAATACGTAGACTTCATCACTATTACGGGAATAGACTACCCGGCTACATGTGTTAGATGTAGAATTATCTCTAATAAGAGATCGAGATAAAGTCCCCTATGCATGAAAAACATAGATTTAAGTGTTAGACGTGTTAGACGTAGACTTATCTCTAATAAGGGATCGAGATAAAGTCCCTTATGCATGAAAGACATAGATTTAAGTGCTACGTGTTGAATACGTAGACTTCATCACTATTATAGGAATAGACTACCCGGCTACATGTGTTAGATGTAGACTTATCTCTAATAAGAGATCGAGATAAATTCCCCTATGCATGAAAAACATAGATTTAGATGTCGCTAAGTCGATAACTGTAAAACCCCATAAAATTTGAATATTATATAAAAAATAATAATAAATATATTATATGGTGATAAATAACATATTTTGATATTTTAGTATGCTAGGGATTGATTTGAAATCAATCCAATGGATACATATGAATATAGGAGTGAAATCATGCACGACATGCACGAGCTTGAATATGGAAAAACGACTAGTTAAAAGTTTTTATATTTTACACACTGATAAAGTAAGAATTTGGAAATACTCAAAAGATAAACGTTGTAGGACTTTTCAATATCTTTCCAACAAATCTTAGATTACCTCATTCTAATTGGACGAGAAAGTTATAGCCAAAATACCAATGGTTATTTTTCTAGTCACACTAGGTTTTCTGGTTCGGGTCAAATAGGTTTGGTTTGGGTTTGTCTCTATAAATACCTATGTTTTTCATAAAAATTCTTTTTTTTATCAAATCTCTGAACTCTAGCAACCACCCTCTCCCTTCAAAAACCCTAGATCAGTTTTTGGTGAATTTTTGAGAGCCTTATGAAGCAAATACCGAGAAGAGGGCAAGTTTGTCGGCTTTTGGCTAGGGAGAACTTGTTTTCTTACATCGTTGAGTTTTTACAGAAATGTTTGAGGCAAGATAATCTTCCTCCAAACCCTTTCCTTAGTAAATATTAAGTTTTTATTAATTATAATGATGAATCTCATGTTGAAATTTAACTCCATGCTTTAAAAACATGATTTTTAAGGTTAAATCTTAATCTAATGATAGATATGAAGTTTATTTCTTGCTGTTTATGTTAGTAACATGATCATGATCATTAGGTGATAAATGCTCAATTCATTCTTAAGCAGTGAATGCCGCAGGGTGTACGTGTAACAGCTTTCTATCTGGCGCATACTTTCTTGATTAGTGCTTGCGACAACAACATAAAACCCAGAGTACTACACATTTGTGAAAAAAGTTAATATATTTCCC